TGCTTCCAAAAATCAACAACCTGTTGGTGCCACTTCGTTCTCCAAAAGGACTTTGCAGGCTTGAGTTGGATAATTGGCTTTTCCACATTATATATATTTTATATATATATATATATTCCTTTTTATAAAGAGAATTGGTCGTGTTTTATACATTGTGAAGGGAATTGGACTATGAAATAGTTTTTGCAATGAACCCTAAAATCAAATTCAGGATGGCCAAGCAGACTTTGGTTGCCCAGGTGAAAGAGGATTTACTTGTTCTGATTTCTTCTTGACATAATCCATTATTAGACTGATGTCAAGCAGCAGTTTCAGGGGTTTCAGGCAGGTTTGTAGAAGTTGTGGCTGTTGGGAAGTGGTTGATGATGTGACACAGAACAGGCAGGAGGGAAAGTCAAGTCCAAAAGGTGCCTTATTTTTTTTTGTAGTTTATTTTGTTGTGGTTCGTCTTGTTTAAAGTATTTTGCCGTGTTTCATTTTTATTTTTTTGAATTATTCCATTTTATTTTGTCGATTGTTTCTTCCCCCTGCCGTGTCAGAGATTCCCAGTGAATTCAGAGGACAGAGGCCCAAATTGTCCATGTTCTGGCAGAAGGACTTAGAGGAAGTTTAAACTCTCTAAATCTGCACTGGGCTGATTTTTGGGGGGAGTTGACATCATTTTAGTGACTTGTGAGGTTCCCTCAGTTCCCACGTATTCCCTGTGCCTTCCCACTTTCCCTCTGTATTGGAAAACATTCCAGGCCAAGCTTTCAGCCCTGACTGTGCCGTTTTTAGCCTCAATGCTTTTGAGCAGTGGTGAGAAATAATTCAAAATATGGCTTAAATAACCAGAGAAACGCCCATTTGCTGAAGTATCAGATACCTGAATTAAAAATAAAATTAAAAAAAATAATAACAACAACAACAGCCTGGGATTGTGCAGAGCTCAGAGGTGAAGTTCTGCACGTTTATCTGCCCATCCCAATTTTTTGTGTGTGTTTGTGCTGTTTTTTCCAGGCCAGGTCCCTCTGCAGAGCCCCCAGGACATCCAGGTGCACGCTGTGAACACGAATTTCACCTTGAGGTGGAACCACCCCGGGGGTGACCCTGGGGTGACATTTTCAGCAGAGTACAAGTGGTGAGTGAGGACTCAATTTTGAGCCACAAATTCTGCCCCTGGTTTGTGCAGAGGAGCATTTTAATTAATGACTTTGCTGCTTAATTACAGCCACTTTTGTAGAGACCTTCTGAAGTGGTTCTTTGAGAAGATGAACTGGCACTCTTAGAAATATAATTTACGTAATTTATTTTTAATGTGATTTATTCCCTGGGTTTTTTTAATCATGACCACACACACAGAGAATTTGAGGGAATTTTCAGTGTAGCTTTTGACTAATTTGTTCATTAATCCACATTTCTCATCTGCAAATTTAAATCCCCAGATGAAACAATTTTGGTTTTGTTCTTAAGTATCTGCTTGCTTTTCTGCAGTGGTTTCATATCCCAACATTTTTGCTTACATTAACACATTCATTTGGTATTTTTTGGCATTTTCCTGCAAAGTAAATATTGCAAAACATTTCTAAGATAAAATTACTTAAATTCTGAGCGACCTGGGCTGGTGGAAGGTGTCCAGGGGGTTGGAATGGGATGATTTTAAAGGTCATTTCCAACCCAAACCATTCCCTGGTTCTGTAATTATGAATACAGCTCTTCTTCCTCAGTATGTAAAGGAGAAACAGCTGCTTTGAAGACAGTTCTATTTTAAAAAATAAGGAGACAAGGTAGGAGCTGAGGATAAACCACGACTAATTCAGGTCTCTGCCTCTGTTTTTTTAGGTCAGAATGTTTTTAATCTCTCTCTGAAATGCCTCTTTTTTAACTAAGGTGTGGATGTCTGTTAATGCAAGAAAAAACCAGTTTATGTAAAGCTGATTATTGAACTCCAGTTGTCACCTTTGTGTTTTTATTTCCCCCTGATCTCCATTCCTGGCTCCTGTTAAAACTGGGGGCTTTTTGCTGCTTTTGTGCTCTTTTAAGCACTTCCATCAAGACTTTTAAATTTCTTCCCATTAATTAAAAAATCTTTGCCAGACTAGGATAATACAATAATGTTAAGGACAAATAATTCTGTAAAAATTCTGATATAATTCTATAATTTGGATAAAT